CCCGGCCCCGCAGGTGGTGCGCCCTGCTGGTGCTGGCCGCGCTGCCCTCCCCCGGGGCCGGGGGGGACGCGCCCGAAGCCCCTCCGGAGGCGTGGACCCAGCTGTGGCTCTTCCGCTTTTTGGTGAATGCCGCCGGCTATGGCAGCATCATGGTGCCCGGCTACCTCCTGGTGCAGTACTTCAGGCGGAAGAACTACCTGGAGACAGGTGTGTGGAAACGACAGGGTGGGGAAGCCTCTAGGTCCGGCTTTAGGACTTGGCAATAACTTGGAGTGGGACGGGGCGGGGCGGGGAAGGGCGGGGGAGGCTGGCCGCTGGCGGTTCTGGGGCGCTGGAGGTGGTCGGGGACTTGATTTCGTGTGTCTTCCTTAGGCAGAGGTCTCTGCTTCCCTCTGGTGAAAGCCTGTGTGTTTGGCAATGAGCCCAAGGCCTCTGATGAGGCTCCCCTGGCTCCCCGGACAGAAACAGTAGAGACCACCCCCTCTTGGCAGGCCCTGAAGCTGGTCTTCTGTGCCTCAGGGCTCCAGGTAGGTAGGCTGACTCCACTTCTCTTCCTGGGTTGGGTACCCATGGGCAGGGACTCAAAAGTTTTCAACCTGTTCATCCCAAAGGTTTGCTGGTGTGTTTTCTACACAGCCCTCTGCCTCTTCCCTCCCCTAGCATTGGTCTTGAAAGTTAGGGTACACTGTTGCTTAACATTGAGTGCAGAAGAACACCCGTCTTACTATCTGATAATTTCTGCTTTGCTGTTACACTTTCCTCTGCACTGCCCTATCATAGACGTCGTAAGTCGTTAAAGTTTGGGGAGTGAATTCAGTACTGCAGGTGAGGTGCGAGGGTGGGGCATTTCACACAGGTTCGCTCATACTGTGTTCAGTTTAGGAGTCCACCCCTCCCTGATAGGAAAACGCTTGGAATGGAGCCAGCTGGAACATGCCAACTGCAGGGACAGTCGGGGTCTGGGCAGCCCTAAAGCTGGGTTACTGTTGTTTTTTCACACACTTGATTCCTTACAAATGAATCTGGCCTTGGGAGGAGGAAGAGGAAGCAGCTACAGAGCAACCAGATCACATACCCACACTGTCCATGAAATCACTTAGAATCTTCCCCCAGAATGGGTGAGAGAAGCGGTTGAGAGCTTTTCCTCCTCTTGTTTACTGTCTCCACCCTCCCTCACCCAGGTGTCCTACCTGACTTGGGGCGTGTTGCAGGAAAGAGTCATGACCCGCAGCTATGGGGCCACCGCCACATCACCAGGTGAACGCTTCACAGACTCGCAGTTCCTGGTGCTAATGAACCGCGTGCTGGCATTGGTTGTGGCTGGCCTCTACTGTGTCCTCTGCAAGCAGCCCCGCCACGGGGCACCCATGTACCGGTACTCCTTTGCCAGCTTGACCAATGTGCTTAGCAGCTGGTGCCAGTACGAAGCTCTCAAGTTCATTAGCTTCCCCACGCAGGTGCTGGCCAAGGCCTCCAAGGTGATTCCCGTCATGCTGATGGGAAAGCTGGTGTCTCGGCGAAGCTACGAGCATTGGGAGTACCTGACGGCTGGCCTCATCTCCATTGGTGTCAGCATGTTCCTGCTGTCCAGTGGACCAGAGCCCCGCAGCTCCCGGGCCACCACACTCTCAGGCCTCATCTTACTGGCCGGCTACATTGCCTTTGACAGCTTCACCTCAAACTGGCAGGATGCCCTTTTCGCCTATAAGATGTCCTCGGTGCAGATGATGTTTGGTGTCAATTTCTTCTCCTGCCTCTTCACGGTGGTCTCCCTGCTCCAGCAGGGCGCCCTGCTGGAGGGGACCCGCTTCATGGGGCGGCACGGCGAGTTTGCTGCGCACGCCCTTCTGCTCTCAGTCTGCTCTGCGTGTGGCCAGGTCTTCATCTTCTACACCATCGGGCAGTTTGGGGCTGCCGTCTTCACCATCATCATGACCCTCCGCCAGGCCATTGCCATCCTGCTCTCCTGCCTGCTTTATGGGCACACCATCACCGTGGTAGGGGGACTTGGGGTGGCTGTGGTCTTTGCTGCCCTCCTACTCAGAGTCTATGCCCGGGGACGGCTAAAACAGCGGGGGAAGAAGGCTGTCCCCACGGAACCTCCTGTACAAGTCTGAGGGGACAGTGCCTGAGGCAAGCCAGAGGACCTCACCACACCAGTGTTCTCTGCCTCTGGCAGGGTCTTCTCAGTATCACAGACCAGCTGTTTGGAAAAGCTGTGGGGTGAGGAGGCAGCCTTCCTTTTGCCTTAAGACCCCATCCATTTGCCAGTAGTCCCAGGGTGGAGTTGAGGTGGGGGGGGGATGCCATTTGTCAGCCCAAGGTACTTAAGGGGTTCTTACCCCAAGTTCCCTGTCATCATCCCCTCCTGTTCACTCCAGGGAAGAGAAGCCTCAAGCTTCGCCCAGTCCTGTCCCTAGCACTGTCGGGGGTCCTGGAGCCACTTGCAGGTTTTAGTATTTGGGAAGTGTTACTTCTTTTAACTTTATTAAAAGAGCTGCAATGGAAGTGGTCTGGTGTTTTGGCCTAGTTTAGGGGACTGATTTGAGAACACCACGTGGGCTTGCTGTAGCAAAAAGCAGCAATATCCACTTTACAAGGGAGAGAATTGTATAAAACTCCATCTTTTATTTTGCATACTTTTAATCTCATAACACAAAAAAAAACCACAATACACAACACCCAACCCTGCTGGCAGAGGGAAGGAGGGGGTTAGGGCTTGAATCCCTTGTTTCCTGCCTGGGACTTGGGACAGGAGAGAAGATAATCATCAGCAGAGGGAGGGGAGGTGGGACAGGGCCAGTCTAGGCTGCGTGGGGACACTATACAGAGGAGGGCGCAGGCTTCCTTCCACTGGGAGTTTCTAATCTACTTCTTCCATGCGAGAAGCATCCTCATCGCCCTCCAGTGGGGGAATCTCATCAGGAACAGCAGCACTGGGCTCCTCTGCTGCCACTTCATCCTCATCAATGCCTAAAATTAAAAGGGAAAAAAAGTAAGTCTCACAAGAAGAACAGGTTAGAAATTGAGATCAGCCCCACAACTAGCCACAAGCTCACTAGACTCCAGCTTACCCAGGCCAAGTTTGATCATGCGGTAGATGCGGTTGGAGTGGGTCTGGGGGTCTTCCAGGGAAAAGCCAGAAGAAAGCAGTGCAGTTTCAAACAGCAGCACGACCAGGTCCTTGACAGCCTTGTCATTTTTGTCTGCTTCCGCCTTCTGTCGCAGCGTCTCCACAATGGGGTGGTCGGGGTTCATCTCCAGATGCTTTTTGGCCATCATGTAGCCCATGGTGGAGTTGTCTCGAAGCGCCTGGGCCTTCATGATCCTTTCCATGTTGGCTGTCCAGCCGTATGTGCTGGTCACAATGCAGCAGGGGGAAGACACAAGCCTATTGGAGATTGTCACCTGTGGACAGTTAAAGAGTTCAGCAGGGTAGGGTGGCAGCATCTGTAGTCAGGAGGCTCATGGCTACTCTAGGCTAGTTGAGACATTTGAGAAAAAGGCAAGGGCAAAGCCCAGCCAAGAACAGCATCCAGTCCCTGAATTCAGGCCCCAGGACTGACACATAAAATCTCACGACATAATTAAGGAGGAATCAATAGTATTGACAAGATTTGAGTTATACCAAGCAAGACATAAAATTAAGATTTAACAGTAAACTCCCTGGGATCTCCACTAGCATAAGTCTGACCCACAGATGCAGGTGGTTACAAGTAGTACATTTCGTCCCTAAATGGCTCACCTTCTCAACCTTTTTATCCAAGATCTCTTTCATGAGCTTGCAAAGGTTCTCAAACTTGGCTTTGCTCTCCTCCATCTTCTTTTTCTCCTCTTCATCCTCTGGCAGCTCCAGACCCTCCTTGGTCACAGAGACCAGGCTCTTCCCGTCAAACTCCTTGAGTTGCTGCACGCAGTACTCATCAATGGGCTCCGTCATGTACACTACCTCAAAGCCCCGCTTACGCACTCGCTCCACGAAGGCAGAGTTGGCAACCTGCTCTTTGCTCTCACCT